TTTTACTGGTTGTTTGGCGCAGATAGCCTAGCTGCTTTGCGCTATAAAACACCAACCAAACAAACAACCTTTTGTAATATTAACATGACTGAGCAATACTTGTACCAAATACAGTTTAGTGTATAACACATTCACTCTGACATTGTTTTTATCCCAATAGTTTAAGTGAGAGTATTTCTATAGTAGCTGTTGAAATTTTAAAACCTTGAAGTTGAAAGTACATACAAAATCATAACTTTTTCTCTTTAAATTTATTTACTTTTGTACAAGATCAAGTATTAGTTTTGTATTTGATTTTGTACAATTGGGAAGAAAATCACCTGAAGTTAAACAATTCCTGTATACATATGATCAAATATGGTAGTAAGTAACTGTTACTTACAGATCCTTATTCAGATGTATTTGTAATTTAATGTGATGTATTGCAGAAATTTATAAATAGCAGGATTTTTAAAGATGCATTATTAAGCTCACTTAGTAGCTGATACTGTTCAAATAAATAAATTATTGAATTAATATCTGATGAAGAAATAAATAAATTTATAATTTGTGTGGAATTGATTACTTCTTGTAGCTGAAATGTTTATTTTTGCACTCCACTTGCAACCTTGAAGACCTATGCTAATTCTTAAGAAATAATTTGGTCTTCTGTAAATACAGTACTAAATTAATTTAAAAAATCACTATGAATTTTTCTTATCTACATATTTCAAGACATTTTTAATTAAATTTCAATTTGACAAATATTTTCTGTTGTAAATTGATAAAACAGAATTTTTTGATAAGTAATATAATTTTACTATTTTTTCATAAATGTACATTCTCTCCTGATGAGGGCTTAGACTTTGAGTATCCTGACCCAGCTAGCTGCAACAGGGAATCCCATTGTTGAAACTCAAATTGTGGATTGGGTAAATAAAAAGGTAACTGACTCATTGCTAGTTTTATATGCATTGTTCCACCAATTTCTCTGTTTTGGTTTTACCTCTGTTAAAAAAATGGTTTGAAAGTGTGATCAGCTTTAGCCACATACTTGCATGTGACTCCCTATGATTGTAATTGTGGTAATTTATTTTTCACAACATATTTCTGTGACTTGGATTTGAACAAGAGACCTGTCACATGCCATGTAGGTGTTCAACCAAATGAGCTAAAGGACTGACCCACTAGCATTTGCTAGTAAGTGATATTTTGTACAACTCAAACTACTAAACATTTATAACATTTGTTGCTATATCAATTTATTACCATGAATGTCTAGTAACAGATTTGAATATCTATTGGATTAAGTTTTCACTTCTGTTGGCATTAAAAGTTTTGTATGTTATTATACAGAAATAATTTCTAATGTTATCAAATATAATGACTTGCTAAACAAACTATATGTAATAAGTATAAAAAAAAAAGAAACAAAATCAGCAATCTATGAATGCAACAAAAAGTTACTTCGATTGTCAGGAACGCCGAGAGCCAGCACGGGCCGGGGCAACCATCCTCGCTGGGCCCCCTTTCTCTCTCTCTCTTTTTTAACATTTTCAAGAATTTATTAAAAAAGATCCTAAATTAGGACAGCAATGAGCTCATAAACCAGACAAATCATAGCAGCAGCCGTTTTTACCTTACAGTATAAGCGTAAAAACATTAATAAAGTAATAACAAATATCTATTAAATCTATAAAGTAACAAATACATATTAATTATTACTCAAATTATTATTTCAGCCATTCTTAATATATCAAGCATCTACATGCAAAGAAAAACCAAAAACTATGGTTTTTATCATTAAATGAAGATATAGCCTAAAGGCACTCCAACCAAATGTATATGAGCAAGGATGGTGAACAAAAACAAATGCTTTATCGAAACAAGAATAAGCCACAAAGTTAGCAAAACATTGGAATCCCCCCCTCTCATCTAAACAACCAGTCACAAGAATAGAACTCATTCAAGTAAAGAAAATAATTTGACAAATATGTCCTAAAAGCAGACTACTGGTAAAAAAAGTAAACACAATAAAAAAATATACATGTTAGCCTAAACAATGTCTTCCAAGACAAAAGAAATATGAAAATCCTACAGATAATACAGCTAGATGTCTTGTCTGGAAAAAAAAATGTAAAGTTTAAAAGAAAAACCTCTAAAACATCCAAATTCATTAAAAATATCCCAATGAGGACATTAACCCAATTAAAAATAACATAAATCAGAAGTAGAAATTTTTTAACAAAACAATACTATCAAAAGCATAAAGGCTCAAACAGAATCAGACAATAAAGAACAAAGAATGATTTTTCTGTCCAGTAGAGAAAGATACTCAAGATGGAAGAAAATGAAACAAAAAAAAGGTAACAACATCAAACTGAACTCCAAAATTGTAAATATACCAGCAAAAGTAGGCCAATGACCTCGAAAAGCTAAAAAAGTTAACATTTTCTTCACTTGGAAATGTACTTCAGATAGACATTTATCACTCTGTACCACTGCTGTGGAATTTTCTGTGAACACCATAAGCCTTAAACAAACCTCATCCCTAAAAATCTATGTGTATTGCACCAGCCTTTGATGTAATCATCAAAATACTGTAGCCATTCACCAACAGGAGGGCAACAACCTCCATATGCAGTAATCCATATAAGCACTTGCACATGATCATAGGTTCATTCCTGTGGAGCCAAACAAAATGCACCAAAAATGGGAAAGAACGTGGTGGAGAGTATCTATAAGAAATACATTTTTAGGTAAGGAGAGTGTTAACTTCAGAAACATTACTTACCTCTCTTCACTACTGAGAGCAGTAACAGATACATAACATTTCAATAAAACTGATTATAATAAAACCTTGTTGAAACATTGTACATTTGTTACTGTAATAAACTTGTAATAAAAATTACTTCATTACCCATTCAAGCCACTTCTCAACTTTACTAGAAGACTTGAATACTTGATGTAAGCCCATGTAAAAAAGAAAAACATGTTTAACATCCAGTTTTTAAAAAAGGAAGGAGGAGGTCTTTTTCTTTTTAATGACATCTTTGAAAGAAAGTTTGCATCCTTTTTCATGATTGTTGCTTGTTTTCAAAGAGTCCATGTCAAACAGAAGTCTCTTTTTTTTCATCAAAATGATAAGGAATTTATGACAAATAAAGAAAAAGGGCAAAATGAATCAACTGTGTTCATCTCATTTTTTATTTAGAGGTCTTCTTTATTTTTTGTATGATCAAAAAATGATAATTCAAAACAGGAAAGAAATAACCAACGAACTGGGGGAGGCAGATGCAAAAAAAAGGCAAACAGGGATACTAAACATGTATCTATTTTTACTTGGCCTGATACTTTTAAGCTTTGGAAATCTATATGCAGACCTGTTATTTCAAAGTCTTTTTTTTTCCTCCATAGTTAGAAGTTATAACTTGCAGAATAGTGATATATAGCGGTGATGTGTTATATGGAATTTAATTTGAATTAGTATCAAACATCTTAAACAAAGGTGTAATATAGATGTAAAAACATATTTTGAATAAAACTAAACGAATATTTCTTTCTTTTTGCTTGGTGTTTGTAACACGTGTTTAATTTGAGTTGTGTAAATCCTGAAAACTGCTGGATAGGCAAAGTTTCATATTATAACTATAATCCCTAATAATTGTTTAGGAATCGGTTTTTTTTTTGCTTCGTAAAATGTATATTTAAGTATTAGTAACTTATTATTTGTCAAGAAATTGTTTCCACAATTATTTCAAACTACAAATTATAACATTATGCTATAATTTATGTTTAATCTGTATAAATTTTATTTGTTGCTCGATTTTCATCCTCCTCCCCTTCTCCCAAGCCCGCAAGGAGCCATGTTGTTAGTGTTAGCCAGCTTTCGGAACTATCCGTGAAAAGCCATGCCCACGACTGTACTATACACAGTACAGTCTAAAGAGATTCTACGCAAACAAACTTGCTTCCAAACATTTAAACCATTTTTAATAAAAACGAATTGAAACATCTCTAATAAGCATGTGAGGAAAAAATATATAAATAAATTCAAAGAATCAAAGGAAGACCGTGTCTTTCGAAATTGTTTAGTTCTTATCATTTGACACTTACGTTCCTTTCTCGCAATCATATATAACAATGGAATCGTCGTCGCTGCTTGAAATAAGTGTTTCGCCATTCGACGAGAAGTCCATGCTGTTGATACTTAAAGTATTTTCCTTGAACACTTTTGCTACACAAAAACTTTGTATGACATTATCTACAAGCTTCATTTTGATTATATTGTATAAACTTTATTCTAGATTACTTTATTCAAATAAATATCACCCTTTTTATTGAAAAAACATCACTTTAATATAAATTCTCTTCGTTTTAAGGCGCGCGAAATGTGAACTCACGGTAACAAGCAGATGTATGCGCAATCTGATTGGTTAAAAATAAAACTAAATAATTTTTATACAAATTTATGAACTTATTCAAATTGTATATAAAATGAAAAACTTATATTTTCAAACATAAAACAGTTAATGGAATTTTAAAACAAAGTATATTTTACTCTAGAATATTAAAATCGGTGCCATAATTGGACAATACATGCTTTAATTTGATTGGAAGACCAACACATATTGTATACAGTGTATATGGTGTTTTTAGTTTTCTTTTGTTTACCAAATTGAACCCATATTTACATAGAATTTGAAGAATATACAGCATAGTAGCTACAAATTTGTTCTTCAACATTATTCAGCAGACAAACTATTTATGATACAAAAGGAAAATATGAAGCTTAATCAATCATTCGATTCACTATTTGTCACTGAGTTATACGTGAATATATTTGCGTTAACTGTATATAATTAACACTCAAATTGGGCTTTATATTTACTTGAGTTAACAATTTTAGATCACCTAAATTAGCTTTATAGACAATTTACTGGAAATATGTGAGCAAAACAATATAAATATATATACCATTAGATTTAAGTTAAAAATTTCAACAGAAAACATAAAAAACAACTTACATAATCATTAATATAAACTTCTGATCAAAGGTTATTTAACTATTTATTAACTTGAATGTGGAAGGTTATTATGTTAGTATAATGATAAGTTAGCAAACAACGATTTATAAGCATAATGAATTGATTTGTTTTGGAGGGTTTGTTTGTTTGTTTGAAGTTAAGCACAAAGCTACACAATGGGCTATTTGTGCTCTGCTCACCACGGGTATCGAAATCCTATTTCTAGCGTTGTAAGTCCGCAGACATACCGCTCTGCCACTGGAGGGCATTTTGGAGGGAACTATATTAGAAATTCCAAAGAAGACAAATTAGAATTCGGTAGAAGACTGTAATATGTTCTAAAGAAATTAACTACTTCATTACGCTTATAAATCGTTGTTTGCCAACTTATTATTAACAGTATGCTTGTAGATCAGAAGTAAAGTGTAACTTTTTTTCTTCCCAACAATTTGCAACAAGGAAAGTGTGGAATCAGGCCGTCCTATCTACTAAGTCAAATAAAACACTAAAAAACTCAAGTCAGACCTTATCATTCAAATATTTATTAAACTTTCCCTTAAATTCCCTTCAGTTTGGGTTACGAGTTCGAATCCCATCCCCGAACATGCTCGCCCTTTCAGCCGTGGGACGTTATAATGTACGGTCAATCACACCATTCGTTGGTAAAAAATGGCTGATTAGTTTGCGGTGGGTGGTGTTGACTGACTGCCTTCCCTCTAGTCTATCACTTCAAAATTAGGAAAGGCTAGTGTAGATAACTCTCGAGTAGCTTTGCGCGAAATTGATAACAAACAAACCTTTAAATTAAATGCATCCACAATATCCGAAGGCATCCCGTTCCACACTGCTAGAAAAATATAGCTGTCTTAGCTGAAGAAGAATCCTACCCTGTCAAAATTTATATTTGTGTCCACTAGTTTTACAATTCTCACCATTCAATACGGAAGAGGACGATGCATCAATACTAACAATTTCTTAACAATCATAAACACCTTAACCACATGCCCTCTAACTTTTTTTTCAAGAAAATACAAGTTCAGAGATCTTAACTTATTCTCATATGAGAACTTTTCTATCCCAGGTATTATCTTAGTGGCTCCCCTCTGAACTCTTTCCAATAATTCATTAAGGCGCCCAAGACTGAACATGGTACTCCGAATGTAGCCTACCCAATGGCCCATACAATTACATTATAATCTCTTTAGACTTGTATTCAATATTTCTGTAGATACAATCTAAAATCCTATCTGCCCTGCCATAAGCAATAGTTCATTGCTTGGATGGCTTAAGAGACCTATGAACCAAAATATTGTGATATTTTTTATTCTGTAACACTGTTAAGGTTGTTTACATCACAATTATACATATAATTCAAATTATGATATCCCACATGCATTACCTTGCATTCCTTATAATTAAAATCCATCTGCCATTTATTTACCCAACTCACCAGATAATCCAAATCCTTTTGTAAAGACGTAGCATCCTCCTCACAGCTAGCAACACCAAAAACTTTAATGACATCAGTAAATTTTTATAATATATTGATCTTTCATTCAGTTATGTCATTGATGTAAATAAAAAAGAGCGAAAGTCTTAACACTGAGCCCTGAGGTACCCCACTCGTGGTATTAACTATCCATAGCTATGTGGACTGGAGTTTGAATTATTTTCGTCAGATAATTAAAAAAATGACAATGAAAGAGCAACATTAAAACAATATCCTTCAAATTCTTTATGAATGTAGTATGCAGGTATAGTATACGTTTTTTTTACCTTCTCATTTTAGGGCAGAAATTTTCAAAATTTTTCATTTGTTCTAAGCCTATGCAGTTTTTGTATAACATGTAGTCAAGAAAGTCAATGTGCTGATTTCGATCTAGCTGCCTTTATTTCTTTATCACTATGGAGAAAACATATCTTATGTCCATGAATGGCATGGTTTTAATGTTACATGTCGTGCAAGAATGTCAACAACCAGTGTTCTCCAGTGATAGACCAGATGATACCTTGAGATTATGGCCTCTCACATGTTTCAATGAGAATGACCAGTCACGTGAATATCACTTGTCACTATGAGTAAATCTGGAGTTTCCTGTTAATTATTTGATATTTAAACATTCATGTATCAGATCTTCAGTGAGTTGGTTAACAAAAGTAAATCTTGAGGAAATAACAATGGTCTAATCAATCAAGAATCCAGCAACTACACACGCTGAGTTTGTGTGCCTTTGATATAAATAAAGACTGTTTTCATTGTGTGTTACACATTGTGCCTCGGTCATTTATTACTTTTTAAACACTGCTGTAACTAAATTCAATATCTCTTTGTAATATATCCCACCAATCATCCCTTTATATAGTGGATCTACCTAATTTATTCTTTTGGGAAATCATTTTCACCTGAAAATACAACAAAGTAGGTATGAAGGAGAAATTATGATGCCTTGACCATAGGATATTATTATGGAGTTTTCTGTATGATTACCAAGTTTAAAGAAATGCTTTTAACTTAAAAGAATGGCATTTTCTGCAAGTAAAAGTTTTCATGACTGAAAGGGGGAGTTAGCTGCTGAAGTGAGATAGTTTTATGAGAGAGTTGCGTGATGTAATAGAAGTCTTCTCTTGGACATTGGACTTCTATCCATGATGTGATGATTCATGATTTCAGTCTCTCCACAGCCTCATGAAGATCAATTGACATCTGGTACACTCAAAATGGTAAATCAGGCATTGTCCCTGAGGATTGATCTTGGAGTAAGAGAAGCATGGACATCTGTCGGTTATCAAAGTTAAATAGCATTTGAGAACTTCGAGGCTAGAGTTTCTAGAGAATTCCCAGGCTGTTTCCAGCCAGATTAACTCAATCCAGCAGAGAAGGACTAAATGTGCCAATAGTGAACTAAGTCCATCAGTCAGAACTGTCTTCCTGACAAGTGAAACAGCAGGCACCAATTGGAGAAGACTTAAAACAATTGGGTACAAGATGCCTCCTCTGAACGAATAGATATCTGGACAGGGCAATCATGGATTGCAAAGAAACCTAGAAATAAACAGAGAATCTGGATAAGATGCCAAAAGCAACTTGTTGCTTTGCCAGATTTGCCACCCTGGACCAGGGACGAACTACTTGCTCTATATGGTAGGGTCACTAAGTATACAATGCCTACAATGTCAGCAGCATCCTAACCAGGCATTAGCTGATAACTCGCAAAGGAGAGGCTTTGGCCTCCACCACAGGTCACTATGAGTGATGCCAATCATATTGTGCCCCTAATATTCAAAGGTTTAGCAAAAGAAGATGTGGAACATTTTCTTAAACATTTCAGGTAGATAATGTTTGAGAGGCCGATGGAGTTTACATCGAATGGGCTTAAAACGTGAGATATTTCTGATTTATGTCAACGACATTTTGGTTCTGATTGAACCTTTGATTCTCAGCTGAGAATTTAAGAATGGCAGTTCAACTTGTAAAAGCATAAAATCGAAACCAGGAGGATGCACACTCATACAAAGTGGAATTTCTTGGTCATATGGTAGATAAAGATGGAGCCTCTACAGACCCTAGCAATGGTAAACTTATGAACAAGCAAAAACTCTGCAGTTTCCTCAGTTCTATGTCATATTATTGATGGTTTGTAGCCAACTTTTCCAAAATAATAGCACCACTGTTTGCTTCACTAAAACTTAGATGTATTTTGGATGAAGGAACAAATGTGAACAGGCATTATGAACCCTAAAACTTGCTTTAGTGAACAGTTAAGAAACAGGCCTAAGTCAGGTCTGGCCACCAACATGGGAATTACGGAAATCAGCTTATGTCAAAAGGTTTGATTGTCAGCCAAGTTCTCTAGGGGTCGGGTGGAGCTTAGTACATAACCATAAGTTACAAGGATGAAGTTCCTGGTATTCATATGAGCAGCCAGAACACTGGCAGATCTCACAAAATATCGAGCTCTCCAAGTAAAACCACCACTATGACCAATGGATATTGACTTTGTTCTGACAAATGGCGATAAGCTAGTTGTGAATGGAGAGATAATTCTTTGCTTGTATCTAGGTTGCATTGCTCATGGAACAAAGGAAGTTATGGTTGATCTCGGTTCTGACAATGGCATCATTTAGATGGATGTACTGTGGAGCCTATTAGGTATACTTGTCTGTGCAATAAGGGAAATGGTGGTACAAGGGAGTTATCAGGTACTGGCCAGATCAAGTCCCAAAACAGTGGACTGAATGAGTGTATGTGGGAGAGAAAACTTACATTACCCCAATGTACGCAAGTGGTGTTCTGGAGTTCGTTACAAATAAAGTCTATGGCATTAGTATCATGTAACACAATTATAAAACCCATGCATGAAATGAGCTATTTCTGCCCCAGAAAAAGCAGTAGTTATCAATCCAAGG